GGGGGGGGAGGAAGCATGGGCAAGAGTCTTGATTGTGGTTTTTGCAGGAAGGAATGGGCAAGGCAGCATAGACAATGGACAAGCGGGGCAAGCTTAAATTTGAATAGTTGGAAAATATCAGGGGGCTCTGGGCTATAGGGTGATCCCTAGTTGTCCTACCTAACAGAGAGTGGGTAGGTCAGATTTAAGTTGTATTACGGTTGTAGAGATCTTCTCTTGGCTGGTGAAAAAAGTGAAGACATAAATGTAGGGAGATTCCTGGAAGACATACAAGTTCAAGAAAAAAGGTGCTTTAGAATTTTATTCAACTATATTTTCAAAAAAGCTTTTTGACTTTTTGCAATTAGGGGAACTATGAATCTGTAATTTCTTCACTATTTTGAGAGAGATGAACTACATAAAAATAAATGGACAGCAGGGGGTTAGTTTAAGGATCTCTGTTGGTCTTTCTGATAGATGACCTTACATTCGCTTCTTCCCTCTTCTTTACATTTGCTTCTATTCAGATATTTGCCTTAAGCATCTTCTGCAGTGACTTTTTTATTGCTTCTTGAAACTAAGCAAAATATATTGTTTTTTTACTGCGATTAACATGGTGCCTCCTCCATCAGACTCATGCGAGGTGCTTAAAATGAAGATTCTTTAGCATCAAATTGTGTCAACAAACTTGGCTTCGTCTGACAAACATCACCATCCATCTTGATTTATCAAGAGAGAAATCAATTCTCTCACCTAGTAAGTGTGTGGTTGGGCCATCCAAGGCTGCTGAGCAGAACCATAAAGTTTTCGTGGACTGAAGCTGACATTTCACCACTCAGCTATTCCTTGACCATATTCCATGTCTTTGTGGTCCAATCAAATGTACATGCCTTACTGCAAGGGCAGCTAGGAAATCTAGGCCTTTTAAAAATAATTGGTTACATTGCTTCTCCAAGTAAAATTCTGCAAAGGGATATTGGAGTAGGCAACCAGCAGTCCTCCATACTTAGCAAATTAGAATTCCCCGAGGTGGGGTCAGGAAATTTGCAATTTATCAAGCCCCATGGGTGACCTGATTGGTACTAAAGTTGAGGACAGTTGTCCCGTCATTGACTTGCAGAGATAGGGCATGGATCCAGACATTGCTGACATCAAAAGTTCCATTGTTATATTATCTCCCTCTCACTTTACATATGATAAAAAAGAAAATCAGAGAAAGGAACGGAATTGTGTAATATCATGTGACTCCTTTTACCTTAGGAGTACAGTAGTAAACTGTGAAATTCAGTGCCTATCTAAACTCAGATGGTGCTGATTCGATGCATTGTCTTCCAAACTTTTACTGAGAATAATACACTCATTTTATGGAAAATTGTGTGAGCCAGTAAGAGGATGGGAGGAATGTGCACGTAGTAGTACAGTCTGTTCTCACTTCCGTTGCTCTATTGGTTACTATTACGGTAGTTCTTTAAGAAACTGCTTTGCTTTCAACAATGTCTATAACTCTAGCATGTTAAACACTAAAGTGTAATGCTGGGGCAAGTTTATAACAGCTTGATAAGGTATTAGTACAGTGAGTCATGAACTTGGTGCCTAAAAATAGCAAAACCCAGGTGGCTACAAATTATAGCCTCTTACATGTAAAACCCAAGACGTGCTACGACGTCATCGTATTACCTATATCAAGCTGTAAGCGTTTTTAACGGACACAAACTTTTCCTTTTAGAACTAATGACTCAACTTGAATTTTGACTGGGTCTGGATCTGTCAGCCACCAGCCACGCCAGCTTCTTAGAAGAGCTTCATCTCAAGTGCACAGTGAGATCTAAGGGCTTTTGTGAGGGATTTTACATGGTAACTAGAAACCATGTTTCATCCAGTCACCTTGAGCAAGAGGACGTGGCTCAGTGATTCTCAGTGGCTGGGAAAAGGCAGCACTTCTACTTGGAAAACTTAGCACCAGTTGTCCTTTTGCGTTAATTTGTTTGTCATGGTGAAATTTCAAACAACATTAAGAAACATTTAGATTATTTATCAAATGGGGGCATGAACATAAAATATTGAGAGAAACATTAACAAACTAAAGAAAACCAGTGATTAAAATTGTAAGAGGAAACATCTTTGGCCTGTGTTTCTGACAACGGTTCAGAACGCAGGACTTTCCATTTCATGAGGGGAAACCTATCCTGTTGGAAATTTGCATTAGCTATAAAGAGATAAGGCAAAGTATTTAGTGCCCCCGCCCTTAATTGGAATATATATTTCTGGAAATATATTTCTTACGTTGTCTCAACACCTTTTCAAAGTTATCAGTGTTGGTTACTCCCAAATATTAGATAAGCATTTGAATCCTTTTGCCAACATGTGTGCCTTAGGGGTCATCCATCTGGGTGTGTAAGTTGTGCGTCTTTAAATAGGTTTGAACCTTAGGTGACTAGCACTGTGCTCTTTTTCTCTTTTCTCAGTGCCAAGCTGTGTAGTTACAACAAAGGCTCCCTCTTCCAGAGAAGGAAGTAGCTCATCTTTTTAAAAGATAAAACAATTTAGAGTCCTTTGGAATATGCTGGCAATGTGCCCCCAGCCATGCGGATGAAAAAGGCCCACTCACTACGCAGCAGAGGGACATTTCCCTTGGCTGCCGTGGTAAAGCCCTAGGGGACAGAGAACAAGGACTTGACTTCTGTAGTGAGGCTGTGCTATCCTAAGGGAAAGTGTCTCTAGGCTAATGGCACTTACTGCCTTGGATCTGTTTGGAAACACGGGGACATATGGAGCCGTGTGTACCCTAGAAAATATTTGGCTAACAAATCAGACAGCACATTCGATAACCAGTCCGCCTAGGAAATTTGAGGAGTTTTATTTCCCTGGGGTTTCTCATTTATAAAATAAGAGATGTTAGACCAGATAATATGGGTGGTTGTCTTCCAGTTATAATATTGCCCACGTCAGTGTTTTGTCAGAAAGTGTGGAAGTGCTCTTCCCTCTCCAGCAAGAAATGGCCACAGGACTGGTCAGAGAAGGTGGTGCTGCTTAAGGGTCCTCCCGCATCTGAACTACTGCAGCCCAATTAAGAGGAAGGCCTCCCGGGTCCTGCTGAGTTTCCATGTTGCTGTAAGCTTTCACTCGTAACATACACCACACGCAAAAAAACTTACACAACTGTCTTTGTAGTTAATAACTGCGATGTCCTTCTCCACCCGGTCCTCTCCTGTCATGGGACGCAGCCCAGGAGCGTTCTGCAGGGCAGCAATTCCCTGCATTTCATCTGTGTATTTGTGGAAAGTAGAATCCCACAATAATACAGATTTTTTGGACTAAACCTGATTATTTTATTTTTTTCATTATTCCATTAAGCAATATCTAACACTGTATGATGGCATAGTAGAATTTGAAGGAGAAATATATTAATTTGGGAGTAGTTTTGCATTTGTTACTGTCAATAAGATGTAGATAAAGCGTGTTTTTCATTATGTGTTGTTGTTTTTTGTTTTCAGATATCTTTATTGATTTCAGAGAGAGGAAGGGAGAGGAGGAGAGAGAGAGAAACATCAATGATGAGAGTCATTGATCGGCTGCCTCCTGCACCCCCCACACCGGGGATGGAGCCCGCAACCCAGGCATGTGCCCTGACTGGGAATCGAACCGCAATCTCCTGAATCGTAGGTCGGTGCTCAACCGCTGAGCCACGCCGGCTGGGCTCATCACGTGTTTTAAAAGGAAAATGTCCTATCGTAGTGTTGACATTGGTCAGAGTTATACATCTTAGATTAGTCCTGATTACCACTCATGTTTCCTCAGCCCTCTCCTCAGTAACTTGATGGTGGAAGGTATGAGCTTTAAAAGTCAAGGCAGCTGCAGCGTAGTTCAGAATGGCTGGCATCATACGTCCCCAGGTGTGTGGGAGCCAGGAGGCTCCAGCCCGAGTCCCATCTTCTTTGGTCATTGCTACTGTATCCTGGGCAGGCCGCTCTTCGCGTGTTTTTCCATCTGTCAGATGAAGATAAGGGTCCCTCCTACTTCCAAGAACTGTTTGATATCAGATAGTCAGAGCATGCTCTGCAAAGTCCTATATGATATGTTAAAGAGTAGATTTTTCCCCCCAAAGTTTTTAACCTCTTAAATTATTTTTAAAGTACAATATTTGAAGATCTCTGTAATTAACCCTTTTTTAAAAAAGCACCACCATGGTGCCACTTTTTGTTCTAAAATAGCAGGTTTGCGTGTGTCTCCTAAGAAGAGAGCAGTCTTGCAGGTCGAGTCAAAAGCAGGTGGGGCTGTGAAGGGGAGATGTGTTAGGGACATGAGCTCCTTTATCTCGTGCCCAGTCCTAATCTTTTTGGCTAGCGTTTACCCCACCACACTTATCTTCTTCCTGCAAGCTTCATTTTCTTCTGTTCTTGTCTCTTCTTCCTCTGCTCCCTGCTTTCTTTTTTCCCTTAGTACCTCTCTTCTCTTAGAGCCTAAGACCAAGAGGAGAGGAAAATCACGGACTCTGTAGCTGTAAGTACTGTCATCTTGATGGTGGTGGGGAATGTGTTGTTTGCGTGCAGAACAAAAACTAGTCACTTCTGTACTCAGACCACATGAGCAGCCCCTTCTGCTTGTGAGTCAGCTCTGTGTGTATGTCCTTAATCTCACCAGTTGATGTTGCTATGGAATGGGAGATACGTGTTTATAGCATTATTCTTAGGGTCAAAGGGGCTATATCTAAATAGAGACCCTGTCTAAACTAGGAGTGTTTAACCTCTTATTATGTTTATTTCTAGGGCAGGAGCGGTTCGGCAACATGACCCGAGTCTACTATAAGGAAGCTGTTGGGGCTTTTGTTGTTTTTGACATGTCAAGAGTGTCCACGTTTGAGGCCGTCCTAAAATGGAAAAGTGATCTGGATAGTAAAGTCCAACTTCCCAGTGGCAGCCCTATTCCTGCTGTTCTCTTAGCTAATAAATGTGACCAGAAAAAGGAAGGTGGCCAGAATCTTTCCCAGATGGACCAGTTCTGCAAAGAGCATGGCTTCACTGGATGGTTTGAGACCTCCGCAAAGGTGAGATCTTCTTTGCCTGTGTATCTGCTCTGCTGTTAGCTTGTAAATATAAAGTGTTTAGATGGATTTATGTGAGTGGCTGTTGGAAGTCTAGTGAAAAGTGCAGCATAGCATGGATATGTTACAGCTTCTTTCAGTCAACAGCAGCCATGCTTTCAAAATTGGTTGGTGGGGAGGTGAATAGAAGGACAGATTTCACATTAAAAGAAAAATGAGCTGCTATTTAGAGCAAGTAACAAATGCCATTTGCTGTAAGTTTGGGTCTTTACATGAAGCCTCGTGTGCCTTGCATTTATGGGGTGAAGCACAAGCATTTTTTATTTTTCCAGAAGGCTTAACAAGACATAAGGCCATGTCCCTGGTGACGATGTAGTTCACATGCAAGGCTAATGAGGTATTGAAAGGGCCAGAGAGAAGATGTACTTGGGTGATGTTTGAAGAGTTTTATATTAACAGTATGAAAGAACTTGATTAAGAGGAAATTTTCAATATCTTTGGCATGCTTCTTCATGAATAGTAGAGTGAGAATTTGTCTTTGACTCATTGTGGGAAGGTGCTGGGTGGCTCAGTTGGTTAGAGCGTTGTCTCAGTAGACTGAGGTTGTGGGTTCAATCCCAGGTCAGGGCACATACAAGAATCAACCAATGAAGGCATAAATAAGTAGAGCAATAATCGATCTCTCTCTCTCCCTCTAAAACCAATAAATAAAATTTAAAACACACACACAAGTTGGCTGTTGAAAATCTAGATAGCCTAGATATGCGAGAAAGCAAAGCTGAAAATCACAAGCACAAAATATTGGAGGGTGGAGGGTGCTTGTTTATGTGTGTTAGAAGTTTCACTTTAGAGGTCAAATAGCAATCTATGTAAGAATGAGGAAGTATTGGAGAAATTCTGTGATGACAAACTCAAAACCATAAATTTGGTGTAATCCCAGCACAGTTCCAAGGTTCAGTGTGCCTTCTGTGAATTTCTTGTTTATATATTTTTTAAAAAGCCTTGTTCCTCCTGGTCACCTACACACTACCAGGTTGCTTTTAGCTTTACCAGATGCCCACCCTAAAAGTGGAAGATTATTTGGTGCCACTTATGATCAGAATAATAAAAGCAAAGGTGTGAGAGACTGCACAAAAAGGCTGCCCTGAAAGTGTTGACTGATGATGGAGTCACTGGGGAAAATAGTGTCTACTGGAGGCAGAAGTGTTTACTGCCGAGCTAAAGACTATCTGTTTAATCAAATATATTCTAGCATCTTAAAATTTAGTTAATATACAGAAAGTAGTGGCAGAGAGAAGTGAAGCCCAGAGAAGATGCTGCGTGAGCACTTGGCCAGGCAGGAAGTAAGAAATCACAGGAGGGAAGGCTACTCGTAGAGGGACTTGTTCTAGAAGACATGCCCTGTCCCCCTTGTCAGCTGGTTTGCTTACGTCCTGACTGTTGGAAAAAAGATGACAATATATGTAAATGTTTAATATAGCGTGAGGTTTGCTGGAGGAGATGCATGTATTGCAGATAAACTTTCCTATTTGGGTTTTACTTGAATTCATCGTTCAAATAATAAATCCAAATTTGTCTGCAGAATCTAGATGGAAGATTTGTACACAATTGTGTCCTGTGGCCTGTCGTTTGAGACTGCATACGCCATCAGCTTTGTTATTACAGGGGTGGACAAAAGTGGGTTTACAGTTGGGTGTACGTGAAATGCAGAGTTTATTCTTGCTTTATTATTTATTAAATATTGTATTTTTTCCATATGAAGAACTGTAAATCCCCTTTTGCCACCCCTGTATTTATAGATAGCGTCACATAGAGGGGAGAGGGGGAAAACACTGGTTAAGAGTAAGTTTCAGGTATGTTCTGTGCTTTCCTACGGGGGTATGAGGAACACCTTCTGCGGAATTTCCTAAGTAGTAAACCAGGAGTGTTCCAAGGGAGTAACAGTAATGTAAAATGTAGGTTAAAAATTGTAGTCAAGGCTTGAGGTTCTATCCAAGTGTCCCTAACACCCATATCTGAGCTGAGCAGCAGCTACCTTCCAATCTGATTTCTGCTTGAATTCCAGTGATCTGAATTCTAATAGGAACAGAGCCAAAAGACACTTTCGAATTCATGAATTTCATCTTCTCATGCCCATGGTGACTAATGCCCTCCCAATAAGAAAATGTGTGACTAATTACACTCGAAAATGGAATTTTTTGTTCTTAATCAATTGCTACTAAATGCAGTGAGAAAACATTATGGTTACTTGGTATACTGGGGATGGTGAGAACTGAGTGACCTTTGGCCATTCAAAGACTAATACTTTTAATTAAAAACTTAATACTTGTCTTAGGAGTGGAGTTAAAGAAGCTCGTGTTATGCTGGAAAAGATGCTTTACTAAATAGCACAGGTCTTGCAGGTGTCACACTGTGTGAGAAAAGTATGACAAATGAGGGAGAGGTGAAAATGAGCCTCGCGGTGTTGGGTTGGAGTCGGAGAGATCAGTGTGGACGAAATGTTATATACATACATATATATACTCTGTGTATGTTTCTGTGTTTATGTGCGTGTACACATACATACATGCACACACTGCATATGTATAAACAGAGAGGTAAGCACAGACATAGATACTGGGTATGTGTGTGGATGCACACGTGTGTTTACTGGGGGTGTGCTGAGAGGGCTGAGAAGCGGTGACACTACAGAACCAGTGAGCGTACCGAGGCCTCAGTCATTTTAAATACTCCTTTTTTCCGGTAAAAAGAACTGGGGATTCCTGGAGAAATGACTGATTTCAGGATTGTGGGACATAACAGTAAAGACATGCCTGAGATATTTTGCGGTGCCAGAAAGTGTAATGGAGACATATCAAAAAGACACTACTTCTAGGAGCTCCCAAATCTAAGACAATTTGAGCAACAAAGTAAACAATACTGTAACAGATTTAATCCATAGAATAAAATAGTAATCCGTGATACAAATAAGCAAATGAATAAATAAGTAGGAGAGAAGAGAACACTCTTCCTAACAGTAAAATTACAGTTAATAAATGTAGAAGGAACGATGGAAATGGAAAATCGCCAGTAAACACCATAGCAATACTTGCTTTAGGGCAGAATTGGTTGAGGCTAAAGTTAATAGGAAAAGTATGATGAAAAATAGAATATTTACATATCCTACTTGCTAAGTACAGAGGGAAGAAGAGTAACTTTTCCAGTGGAGAAGCCTGGCAGATAGGACTTTAAGCAAGTGGGCCTCACACACTGAAAACAACACATCACTCGTGCCTTAGTCCTGTCCGAAATGCACAACTTGGATTGAATGACAAGGAAGCGTCAAGCAGACCCAGTTGAAGGGATATTCTCTGGCCACTACTCTCCACCAATGTCAAGTTCATGGAAGTAAGGAGACTGAGGAACTGTTCCAGATTAAAGGAGACAGGAGACAGGACCACGAAATTAAGCTGCTCACCTGGATCGGAAATAAGACGTTGAGACAATCAGTGTAATTCGAATAAGGTTGATAGATTGATGCTGACACGACTACTATCTAATTTCCCGATTTAGAAGTTGTACCCCAGTTATCTAAGATGTTAACATTTGAGGAATACGGGTGAAGGGTGTATAGGAATTTTTACTATTATTGCAATGCTTTTTTCAGTAAAATTATTTATAAATATTAAGTTAAGCATTTTAAAAGTCACAGATTTTGCTGTGTGTTACTTATTGTGTATTTGATGACAACTTATAAATCTGTTACACAAATGTGATTTTAGTGACTCGTTAGGATAGTCTTAATGGACATCACACCTACAACACTGTTTCAGGTTAATTTACATGTGACAACTAAAAGTAATAACTTGTACTAGTAATATCGGAAAGGGGCCTGAGAACTATACAAATCAACTAAAGTCAAACAAAGTTAAGTCAGGAGCCTGCCACGTGCTGCCTGCCGAGGAACTGGGCTGGCCGGAGAGGCACGCGGACCAGGAGGAGCCTGTGGACAAAGCAAACCCCTGCAAAGATGGGCAGCAGCCCCTCGCCCAGGCCGTGCCGTTTGCCCGCCCCCAAAAGGAGAACAGGCCACAGCGTACACCTTGTAATGGTTAATATGAACCCCAACTTTTCCCACTGCCTGTTTCCCCGAACCACCAACTCTTCATAGAAATTTCAAACAGGTAGAAGCTCAACCTGCAGAGATGGTTGGAGTCTCTGTTCCTTCCCTGGCAAGGGAGGCCCTGCTCTATGGAGTGGCTTTTCCTGCTTGTCCTCTCTGCTCTGTAAAACCTGCTTTTCCACCTTCACCTCGTGTCTCGAATTCTTTCCTGTGTGAAGCCGGCACCACTCAGAGAGGGGGAGCAACGTGGTGCATTTGTCCTGTTTTAATGCGGTGTGAGCCCTTTGACATTTTTTTCATACGTCCCCTGAATGCGAGAATTAGATGTTCAAGAGCAGGGATATTGTTCATTTCAATGCTTCTGTTTATGTGAGTGGCAGCCCCGAGGTGAAGATTTATTTGCAACCATCAGGACAGTTCCTTGAAACTCAGTGGCCAAAGGTTTCAAAGAGGAACATCCAGAAGGGGATCCTTTGTAAAAAGAAGAGGGGTCCAGAGCCACACTGCTCGGCCGCACTGGGCTCTCGGCAGACACTCGAGAGCTGGAGGAGACCACAGCGGGTGGCCTGCGGTGCCCCCTCCGGGGCGTTTTCCTAGTTCCCGTGGACAGTCTCCGTGCCTCGCTCTAAGAACCAGCCCTCGGAGCTGACCCTGTTCCTTCTTTCTGCTCCACAGGACAACATCAACATCGATGAGGCGGCGCGGTTCCTGGTGGACAGCATTCTCGTGAACCAGCAGAGCTCTGCCAGCGAAGACCGCGACACGGACAAGGTCACGCTGCACCAGGAGGCCCTGCCCGCCGAGAGCAGGTCCCAGTGCTGCTGACCGGCTGCGGGCCTCGCTCCTGCTCGCGAGGGGCCGCCTGACCTCATTCCTCCACTTGGAGCAACCCCCCGAGACGGATCGAGGGCACTGCGCTGCCCTGTGGCCCTTCCCAGGGCTGTGCCTTCCCGGGAGACGGTGGCTCCCCGGCAGCCTCAGCTGAGCGGGGTGTCGGGGGGGTGCCTGCACCCTCAGGCCCCTGCTGCCGCCATCATATTCAGGACAGTGTTTACCTTCAGTGCCTTGGGAGATGACGGGGCTCAGGGCTTGGCAGGAGTTCCAAGTTGGAGCTCTTAGTGTGAGCACCGGGGCGGCAATAAAACTCTCCCAGCAGCCGCACAGGGATTGTTCAAGTCTGTATTTTTGTGTTCCAGCTTCACTTTTGAGGGAGGCTTTTAGACTTAGCCACAGAGGCTTGAAGTTTCTGTTCAATGTTGTTTTTCTCTCAAAACTTCTAACTGGACCTAGTGTTTTCAAATCTACAATAGTCATGGTCAAGGAGAGAATTTATTTCAAAGCACAAACGAACAGAACCGAGATTCTATAGTGTGACTTGTGAAAGAAGCTAGGTCATGTGTGGTTTTATATAAAGTTTGGGGCATTTAAAGAATAATAAATGAGAAACCGAAGTCTGGCTCACAATGTTTGTATTACCATTCGACCCAATTAAGAACAGAATAAATATTTTGACTGAAACCTTTGTTTTGAATGAATGTAGTTCTACAAAGGTAATACAGGGTATACTTTCACGCCTTAGAAAACTTAGTTCACTTTTCCTTTTATTGTTAAGGAACTGAATGATATCATGTGAGGAGTTCAACTTATCTCTTTCAAAGGAATAGTTAAAGATGTTTGTGACATAATCCAAAACTAATGGAAATGAGGAATTGTCCAAGCTATCTTATACGTTATTATGAATTTGCATAGGAAAGATCCATGCATTTATTAATAGCAGGAAAAAAACACACTTAGCACAGAATTGCATTTGCTCAAGTGTGTCCTGGGAATAACTGGTAGCCGTTCTCCACAAATGGAGCTCACTCTTCTCATTAAAACTAAGCTTTGGGGGGAGGGGGGATCACAAATGTTTTTATTTTACATATTTAAGTAAATTTAAACTCTTTGACCTTTTTGGACATGTGTCCTTGAGAAAGCTGGCAGAGGCTTATTTAGCTTTTAAAACTACATACATATCAAAGAGAAAGAATCTACAAGTTTCAAATTAAATACACTCAGAAAAGGTGGGGAGGAGACAGGGGTTATAAATGTTATAGTAACATTTATATAAAATGTGTGTTAAAAATCAAAGGCTGTGTGAACCATTCAGAAAGATAAATTGCAAAGACCTCAAGTAAGGGCTAGAATTGTGGATGTTAGTGAAAGCAGACTTGAGCTTTTTAGGTAAGGGTTATATTTGTATGGTCCAGTTCATTTTACACCTATCAGTATATTCCCTGAACTGTCACTGAAATCAAAAGGAGTGTTCCAATTTGGAACATAATACTTTTAAAATATAAAAACCACATTTTTTCTCATTTATTTATTGGCCTTTTCTTTACAGTCAACTCTTTGGGGTTCTTAACAGGTAACATTTGGCCTTGTTTTTTTTCTTAAACAGCTTTATTGAGGTATATTTGACATACAGTAAATAAACTGCACTTATTTACAATATGGTAAGTTTCCTATATGTATACACCCATGAAACCACTTAAGATAATGCATATATCCATAACCCCCCAAATTTCCTCATGATTTTTTATTGAATTTATTAGAGTGACATTGGTTAATAAAATTATATAGGATTCAGGGGTACAATTCTATAAAACAACATCTGTATATTGTATTGTGTGTTCACCACCACAAGTCAAGTCTCTTTCCATCACCATCTATCCCCCTTTACCCTCTGCTACCTCCCCGCTGGCCCCCTTTCCCTCTGGTAATCACCATACTTGTTGTCTGTCTATGAGAAAAACCACTTTGAATTATCTTTATTTTTTACTACATTTAATCACATCACCTAGATTTTGCCCTTTTTGGATCATACAAGTCTTAGTTCACTTGCTAAATCAGTTAATTCTCCTAAGATTAATAGCTGGAATTATTCAGCTCAGGGTTAAAAATGTACCTCTACATTTGCATGGGGTGAGTGTTTTATTATTGCTTACTCTAGCCAGTGTTCAAGAACGGACAGTTGTGCAACTTAAGGAACAGGCTTTATGTGCATGTGAAATGATATGAGCTACCCATTTCTTTTACACAGGATTTTGTTTTCAAAGATGAATATACAAAGCCACCACTCTTCCTTCTGATTCTCCTAGCGGTGTGCGTATGGTGTGTATAGAAATGGAAGAAATGTGGGTGATGTGAGTTAGAGTTGCATTCAAAACAACTGCTGGAGCTATGTTCATGTTAGTAATTCAATCTACTGCCTCCAAAATGTCACCTGAATACCATCTGGTATTGCCCTACAAGCCCATTAGCATTTCCCACTCCAGACCCATTATCCTTCAATCTTCCTACTGCCCAGCCTGCCCTAGAGGCCTGCGTGTTCCTATACAGGAGGCAGGGCGGTCCTGACTTTCCTGAGCTGAAAAGGTGGAAAGCGAAGAGGCAATTACCACTAATTTCTATGGAAAATCTTTTGAGCCAAACCCAAAAATTAACCTACCAGACCATCCTAAATAACACATAAAACCTAACATAACGCTAACAGGTAGAAAAAGCAGGAATGCACAAAACGAATCGAGATAAAGCAAGATGCTCACAGACATAGTTTTGAGCGATGATGGGGCTCGATGCCCAGATGCTGAGCGTGGTTCCCGGGAGGGAGCGTGGGGGCCTCTCCCTGCTGGGTGAGCGCGGCCCCCGCAGTGGCTGCCGCCAAACGAACGCCGAACGCCGAACGCCTCTTCCCTTTTCACATCAATCAGCTATTCCCTGAGCGATCATGACTGTGGCATTGAACGGTGACTCTCTACTTCCATCAGAAATGGAAAGCGGTATAGGATAAAAATTACAAAAAGAAATGGAAATGTTTTTAAAATCAGGAAACAGAAGGGAGACTGGACAATGCAGCTCTAACGATTGGTATGCTCAGAATTTAGAGCAATGCAAACAGGCCCCAAAAGGCACAAATTCAAACAAGGTAAACACAAGGCAAAAAGCACCAAGTGTGAAACAGAGCGTGCTACCACAAAGAGAGGAATCCACAGAGAGAATTTAACAGTTACAAATGTTGTTGCACAAACCACCAACATACAGCAAATTCTAGGAAGTATTCGGGAGAAAAATGTAGTGTAAGACTTGTGTTGAAACTTTCTCAATCACATACGAAATAACATAAGATAGATCCTCTGCAAACACATTCACTCCTCCCCCCCAAAATCTTATTTTCCAGCGACCATGGTAAAGTTAATCACAAAAGTCGCCATGGACTAGCCATAGAGAAACCTTAAATTTCGAAAGAACCCGAGTTGACAACATTTATCACAAAGCAGTAAGATCAAAAAACAGTAGAAGGAACACAAACCAACTAAATCAAAACTAACCTGGACAGACATCTCAGGCCAAGGAGAAAACTGAACCGAAAATTATAGGACATCTGGAAAATAACTAGCACAAAGACACCGTATAGAGAAACTAAGCTGTAGATAACAGAGTCTGAATCAAAAGCTTACCTCTACATGATTATATTAAGTAAACTCTTCTACACAAAACATAGTAACATGTTTGATGGGATTTAAAAATGAACTTCCAATAAGAAATAAATGCTAATGATAGAGAAAACACTAAATTCCAAATTTAGGTGTTTAACTTTGTACATTGAATTTGCTCGTATAGGATCATACCCGCTCTGGCACTTGAACTGCTCAACTCTGTGAGAGAAAAGGAAGTTCTATCTGTGCAACTTGCAGAGCTCGGTGTTAACTGCAAGTGTGACACTGCGGCTTCTTTCCGTTGCTATGGGCAAGTTACTTCAATGACTTTAACAGATCCTTGAACTGAACAGAAATTGCTTCCCACACAGTTATAATTTTACCATGCAGAGGCTAGAAATTCAGAATAAATAACAAAAGAGGTCTTCTGGGTTCACATTTAATGCTCAGCATGAAATGCAGCTGATGGTGGGAGAGGGGAAACATGACCTAGTGGTAGAGAGATCTTGCTTTGTGATGTGAAAGACATTCTGGCAGCTCTGACTTGAATTTCACACAAGTAAATGGGGGAAAAACCTATCATGAAGGAGCGAATATGTTTGCTAAAGTGTGCCTTTGAAGTTGTATCGACAGAAAGAAGTAAGAATGCCCCTAACATAGAAGAACATAGAATGTGGACTACAATCTGATTATAAATGTGGCATTATTTGCCGTATAACTAGCATATCATTGAGATAAACATTGAAGAACTGGAAGACATATAGCTTTTCCCCCAAAAGATTTTTATGTCACCCATAGCTTTATTTATGACAAAAGACTTGGTGGATTAAAGATGGCCACGATTTCTTTGTAACTCTCTCCTTGGAGAGCTGGGTTTTATTTCCTCCACACTCTGAATCTAGTCTGGCCCTGTGACTGCATGAGCCATAGATGGTGGCAGAAGTGACACCATGAGAGTTCAAGACATAGCCCTTCAGAGGGCTGACAGGCAGGTTCTGCTTCTGCCCTCTGGGAACACTCACTCCTAAAACTCTGCCTCTCTGAGCCTAGTTGCCATCCTGCAAAAAGCCTAGGTGACAGGAGGGACCATGCGAGGAGCTGTGGTCAACATGCCCAGCTGAGCTGCCAGCATCAAATGTCAGCCATGTGAGTGGGCCATCTTGATGTTTCAGCCCAATAGAGTCACTCAGTCACTGTGGCCCCAGGTGACGTCTCCAGGCTAGGTCTTCCCAGATGATCCCAATTGACACGCAGAACCACGAGGAGTCATAAAATGATTGTTTGGAGCTATTGCACTTTGGCTGTTTTTTTATGCAGCAATAATTGATAAGAAAATAATCATCTTACATAAAGATGTGTGTTAACTTGTGTTCTAAGTTCGGTGTTACAAATGGCAGATGAAATAGAAAATTAGTAAATTTAACCTATATCAACAATTGTGCCTGCAATCTAATGGCCTCCTCAGAACCTCTCCACTTTGGCATCCACTTGGAAAGTATCCTTTATGGATAAAGGGGGCTAACTGTGCCATTACTCCCTTGTTTCTATTTCCTTATGTATTTCTCCTGGAACTTCGTATACATGGAATCACATAGTAAATACTCTGATATTTTGCTTCATTCACTAACCCTGTTTTTATGATTTATCCATATATGTATCTATAGTTCATTCCTTTTTATTTCTGAATGATGTTACTGAAGTTACCACATTTTGCTTACTCTCCTATTGATGGGCATTTAGGTTATTTCCAATCTTTGCTATTATCAATAAAGCTACTGTGTACTTTCCTGTACAAATATTTGTGTGGGCACATGTTTTCATTTCTCTTAGGTAAATACCTAATTTTGGAGTTGCTGGATATTAAGGTAGGTGTGTGTTTAACTTCATGAGAAACTGCCAAATCGTTTTTCAGAGTCATTTCTCATCATCAGTGACTTAGAGTTGCTGCTGCTTGGCCTCCTCTCAACACCCGATATTTGTATTGGTTTGTTTTTGCTTCATAATAAGCATCTACGTAAATTAGAGCCATAAAATGACACT